TGGTGGAACACAGCTGACCCGAAGGCAAATCCTAGAATTCAGACCCAGAAGCTGTCCAGGTTGGTCTCTTTCTGTGTGTGATGAAACCCTAAGAGGTGCCCAGGGTCACAAAGAAAGGTGGTGGCAGAGCAGAGCTAGGAAGCAGGTCCCCCGAATCCCAGTGCAAGGCTGTGAGGTCAAGTGGCCAGTATCCTGCCAGGCCCCTGGACCGTCCCAGGCAAGATGTCTCCACAGGACTGCAGCTGCCACACCTGTCCTTTTGGGCAGTCTGGAAAGACTTTCCAAAAGGGAAGACTTCCCCCCACCTTCATGTGCCAAAACTCTGAGTTTCCATGGTGACAGTCAAATTCAAAATCCGTCCAAGAGTAAGTGGGGGCGGGGGGGCATGGCTGGTGCTGGTTTTCATCCTTTGCAGCAGACAGCTCTTCTGGGGCATGATGGGAATATCTGCGGATGCCAGGTCCCCAAGCAAGTGATCTAGGGGCTCAGGCCACTGGAATGGAAGGCCCTCCATCCTCCCTGCCTCATGGCAAAGCCCAGGTGAATCCTGTGGAGATGCCTCCTTGGGGAAGCTCATGGGCAGTCCTCCTCCTGGTGTTTCCCGTCTCCACTCTGAAAAATCAGGTGTGGGCAGAATACCAGCGTTCATCGGCGAACCTTCATCCCAGACTAAACCTCTGGGGAATTAGAGGAGAAAAATATCAGCCTGAGACACACAGTGTTTTCTTGAGGATGAAGAGCGAGGGCCAAAAGATTTATGAGCCTAAACGCTTTGTTAATAGACCTGGAAGATTTACGATAGCAGCTGCCGTGCAGGGAGAGAGGCGGTGACCGCTGTTGAATGGCAAATTCGCCAAGGTTCGGGTTTCACGGAGCCCTCGGAGCGAGGCCTGGCCCCGGCTCCAGATCCCAGACCTCGAGCAGGGATGCTGGAGCCAAGGAGGGTGCATCCGAAGGGAATGAGTTGCCGGCTGGCCGCTTCTCTGCCCTGTGACGCCTTTGTGAGCTCATTGTCATTGGGGCTGTCTGCCCCTTCTGTGCCTGAAACCCTTTGGGGTCTATAAAGGAGACAAAGAACAAGCCAACTGACTAACTGGAGGTCTTATTTATTTGGAAACCTCGTGCATCATCGGCACCACTTGGGACCTAGGATCAGCATATGGCACCCGAACCCACCTCCAGGTTGCTGCTTGAGACAAGACATATCCCTCACAACAAAAACTGCTCTCCCAATGTCACCTGGCATGGTCTCCGTGCCATCTAAACCCACGCCCGCTCCCTACCCAGCACAGTGACCGGGTAGGACAGATGACGAGGAGAGGAGGGCGAAGGAATGTGACAAATGAGCTCACCCCTGTAACCTGGTCCTGGGACATCCTTCCCCACTGTCTCTTTTGAGTGAATAGGTAGGTTGTGCCCTCTGGCATCTGCCCATTAGCACCAAAGGACCCTGGCATTGCGTTAAGGCCGCGGAGCCCCCGGCCCCCGCCCCAGGTCTACGAAGATCCTGCCTGTCAAGCACGGAAGAGAGAGAACACTCGAGTCAGAAAGGAAGAGAGAGAACACTCGAGTCAGAAAGGACGGCTGGATTATCCCTTATCCCGAAGCACCTCTGCCGAGAGATCCATCGCTCTCCCACGGGATTCCCCCTGCTTCCCGGGCTGTGGGCCCCGCCCGCTGCTGCTGGGGGAGGCAGGGGCAGAGCCTCCCGGTCCTTTGCAGCTGCCTCCTTCCTGTCTCCCACTCTGTCTCAGGGCCCACGGGGTTGGTGTTTAGTCAGTCAGTGAGTCAAAAATACGTAAATGCTTATAGAACCGACACCAATTAAGCCCGGTCTCGGTGGAATCGCGATCAAAGAAACCCAGTCCAGGACCTGCAGAGCAATTGCTAAGCAGGTCAGGCCTTTCCTTGCGCTTCTGAAATACTGTGAGAGGGGCGTGTGGAACACCAGCCTCCCAGTCCCTCTCATTCCGTATCCTTGAGGGCAGGGGAGGGAAAGAAAAGGCAGAATTGAGAGCAGAGAAGGAAGAGTTGGGGATCATCAGCTCAGCATCACTCTTGCCCCACCCACGTGGACCAGGCTCTGCAGAAGGAAAGCATGCCGGCCTGAATTTGGGGTGCCACTTGGCCCCTGCCCACAAGGAGCCTCGGTTCCGTAGGGAGAAGCGCACGCACAGCCATGTACAGCAGAATGGTTGGTGTGATCACAGCAGAGAGCACAGGGCATTCAGCCAATCGGGCACGGGTGATGGGCAGGGCTTCCTAGAGGTGGAGGTACCTGCCTGAGCCAGGAGAGAAGTGATGGGTAGGTACAGGGCAAAGGGAAGTGAGTCACTGTAGGAGGGGCTGACAGACTGGCAGGAGCTCCAAACTGGTGGGGGCTGGAGGAGCCTGGGGTAGGAAAGCAAGTCGTATGGGATGAGGTTGGACAAGCAGACAGAGGTCAGGAGCCCAGGCGTGATCCTGTAGAGTCTGCTAGGACCTGGGTGTTAGCTGAAGCACCCCCAGCTGTGCAGGGAGGCGGGGGAGAGGTGCCTGCAGGTGGGGCCAGGTGGGAAGTTATCACAGGAACCCAGGCTGAAGACAGTGAGGCTTTGAGCTCAGCATGGACTCGAGGACTGTTTAAGAGGTGAAACTGTCAGGACGTGGGGATAAGGGAGAGAGAGGCTCCGATTCGTCGTCCGGGCTTCACAAGGCACTCGCTGTGTGCCAGCCCCCCTGCTATGGAAACACAGGGTTGAGAATCTCTTAGATTGTCCTCTGGTCGCTTGGTCTGTGACCTGTGACTCCCTTTTGCTGGCAGGTGACACAGGCGGAAGGCCTGAAGGCTTTCCAGAGGCACGAGATACAGGTGGAAGCTGCCTGTGGGGGGTCCTGCCACGTCCCCTGCAGGACCCACCGGGATTCCCCTAACTGCCCAGGTTCCCCTGCTGGGTGTTGATGCGGCCGCAGGCTTCTCTGCACGCTGCTCCAGGCGGGGTCTGGCGCATCAGATGAAACCTCTCAGCCACCCTGAGTGTAGATCGATTTGTTTCTCCAATGTCATCTCCCACCAAAGGGGTCCCTGTGGCACAGGGTTGTTTGGCAAGTTGAATGAGATAATGTTTGTTAGGTACCTAGCACAGTGCCTGGCAGAAAGAGCTCAGCCGCTCCTGCCTCCCTCCGTGACCAGCATTGCGCATTGCACACACTGCCGCTTACCCGTCGGCCGAGTTAGTCACCTGTGAGCTGCTGCTGTAATCCAAACCTTTCTGGACCGTTGTACTTGGTGTTAGAATTGCATCATTTAATTAAATGTTATGTAAACTGATGAGAAGAGTCAGAAAAGACGAAAAGTTAAAACTAGGACGTTGGCACCCGGCTGGAGTGGTTCAGTGCTGAGTGTTGACCGATGCACCAAGAGGTCGCTGGTTCGATTTCCGGTCAGGGTACATGCCCAGGTTGTGGGCCCGATCCAGGCGGGGGGCATGCAGGAGGCAGCCAATCGATGTTCTCTCTCATCGATATTTCTATCTCCCTCTCCCTTCCTCTCTCTATAAAAATCAATAAAGGGAAAAAAAAAAAATATATATATATATATATATATATATATATATATATGGACTTTGGGAAGTCTTGATAGAAGCCACTTGCTTAAAATGGCTATTTTTTTTTATTTATTTTTGTTACAGATGTTTCTTCTTTTTCCTCCACTGACACCCTCCTCTTGGCCCCCACCCCCACCCCGTCCCCAGCATGGTTGTCTATGTTCATTGGTTACACATACATGTATATAAGTTCTGTGGGTTATCTCTTCCCTCCTCCGCCAACTCCCTCTTCTGAGGTTTGTCAGTCTGGACCTCAGTGCTATGTCTCTGGGTCTCTTTTGTTCATCAGTTTGTTTTGTTCTAAAATGGCTATTGAATCAGACCAGGGCAGGACCATTGTAACCAGCAAGAGGAAGAAACAGAAAGGTGGGGGATTCTTGCTCTGCCCTAAGCCCTGCTCCAGTGCGAACCTGGGACAGCTCAGACGTACAAGGCCGTGTGGACCCAGTCCCAAGAGGCTCCCAAGCTCTACATCAAACGACTGGCGAATGGATGTACATTTCTATGCTTAAAATTACAACAGAATGTTTAGCACATGAGTATATCCTGTATTATGACTCCCACTGGTGACAAGCCAGACAAATATGGTCCTATTTGGTCCAGAAAAGAGGATTTCTACCGCAGTGGGTGTTCACTGTGAGGGCTTCCCTCCTGTCCGCTCTGCTGGGACTCCAGCCCCGTCAGCCCGGCTCCCTCCTGCACCCACAGACCCCACTAAGTTACCGGGTGAAGTGGGATGACACCCTGGCCTGCCGGCTCCCAGATCGGTTCTCCCAGGAATCGGAGTGGTTAGGAACACAGGCTGTGGAGCCAGACTGCAGGGTTCAAATCCTGGCTCGTCCACGTACTACCTTGGGCAAGTGCCTCCACTTCCTCGCCTGTAAAATGGGGATAATGCTATTTCCTGCCTGGCAGGGTTGTTCCGAAGCCTCAGTGAGCTGGCATGTATAGCACAGGGGCCTGCAGCGTCTCTCCGGGCCCGCGAGGCCTGCGATTCCCACGGCCCCAGAGCGTCGCCGTGGGCCTTTCTGCGTGGCCAGGGCAAGGCTCAGAGGGGTTGTGCCCTCACCAGGGGGGTAACCGGCCCCTCCCACAGTGAGAGGCTTCCGATTCCACCCCAGGGAGCGGGTGACATGTGGAGATGGCTGGCCAAGGGGTGAGCCCTCCCTGCTGGCACTGGTCATGCTGGGCCCGAGCTCCAGCCTCCGCATACCAGGACTCACCTCTTCGACTGGCAGAAAGGAGTAGCCTGCTGTCCCCACCCCCAAGCCGTTGTTCCCGTGCCCCACACACATGGGCCACCTGAGGTTCTATGCCACTTTGTCCTGGCAGGAGGGAGGCCTGCCCTGGTAACATGCCTGCTGGTGGTGGCCGGTAGGGGTGACCTCCTATGCTGGTGTCTGTTCTTCCCAGTGGTTTCCAGTGACAGTGACAGTGACAGCGACTCGGATCTCAGCTCCTCCAGCCTAGAGGACAGGCTCCCGCCGACGGGGGTCAGAGACTTGAAAGGCGACAAACCCGGGGGGCAGTCAGGTAAGTGTGGGAAGCCCAGTGCTGGTCTCTGAAGCCCCGGGTGCAGGTGGCTTTGCTGCTTCTGCGGGCGTCCGCTCCCCAGCAGGTGTCCGCGGAGTTGTTCTGGGCCGGGAGAAGTGGGCCTGGGGCTGGGGCGACTTATGAGCTCCCGTCTAAGCACCCCTGAAGAGCAGGGTGGAAAGGAGACTCGGGGTTATTCAGTGGGGGCGGGGGTAGCTCCGGTGGCCTCCCTGGCCCTCGGCCTGCACACCGGGGCCTCCTCCCCCAGCTCCCTGTGAGCATCCCAAGTGAGACTCTGCCTCGTGAATGATGAACCGGAGTCAGCCCCAGCGTCCCCTGGACTAGCTCAGCTCTGCCGGAAGACTGCCGTGGGACCCGGCTACGCGCTAGGACCGCTTGGGCTTCTCTTTCCTACTAGTTAGCACGAGGGGAGGGAGCGTGTGGTCTCCAGAGCTCCTGAATTTGACGTCTCGGAGCTCGCTGTGACCCTGCTGGGCACACAGGCCTGCGGGGCACGTTCCTCCCCTTTAAACACACGAGGGTCTTCCCGGGAAAAGGACCGGCTTCATTCAGGGTTGCTCCGGAGCTTAGAACTGGGATATTTGAAAGCTGGTTCGGGGGGGCTGACTTCGGTGCATCAGAAAGCTTTCTAACTGCCCCAAACTGGACTGAACTGCCACAGGGTGCCGGCCTGGACAAGGCTGGGCGACCTCCTGCAGAGCCAGGTGTGGAAGGGACTCCTGGGGATGACAGATCGGAGAGGCAGGGCCTGGCACCCGGGCTCGCACCCCCGCGCCTGTGCCTGTGGCAGGCGTCACCAGCTGATCGTGATCCGCTCCCCACGGAGCCTGGCGGGGCCCCAGGGTCCTCCTCTGCAGTTTTCCAAGGGGTCAGTGTCGATAGGTGAAGATGGTAAAAACTGTCCCTGGACTAGATGCTCTCTTGGGCCCCTGAGGCCAGAGATGCCGTCTTAGGAAAGTGTAAGGAAACGTACTGCCAGCCGTGGTTTCCAGGGCGGGTTCTCCCCTTCTCCCCCCCTCCACGCCGACTCCCAGCCCTGACCAAGCGGGTCTAGTGGGTAGGAAAAGATGGAGCAGGGTTACAGGCCCCCACTCTGCTCTTGGCCGGGCACAGGCTAGCAGACGGATCGGAGTGAGGATCCTTGTAAAGGCAGCAACTAATAACCCACTGAGTTCACTGAAACAGAAACCCTTCCCCGACCCACACCCTCATTCTTTGAAGGCAAGGAAATTCCTCCTCCTCATTGATTTTTATGTTGGTGACTTTACCTGCTCCTTAGTGCAACGACCTGAGGGCCCGTTCAGTGGCCTTTGTATATGGTGGACCCAGCAGCAGTGGCCAGAGGGTGGGGTCACACTAGAACAAGGCAGCGATGTGGGGGCAGGGGGTAGTTCCCAAGGCAAGGGGCTCTGGGCAGACGGTCCCGTAGACGCCCATCACAAATCCAAATGAGCAGGCTTTACATCAGCTCATTGTCGGACTGAGATCATCCTTGTCTCACTTTGAGGTCCAGAGGGCCCAGCACTGAGCTGCCTGGGCTCCCACATGGTCTCTTGCAGGCGGCCGCATGGAGTCCCCCAAGATGGAGCTCGCCCGCCCACCCAGCCACCTGTCAGGGAGCCAGAGCAGCCTGGCCAGCGAGCCCGGGACAGGCTCTGCAGACCCACAGAGGGGCACCCCACCCTGTCCGGACCCAAAGGGCCCCAGTGAGTACCCAGCCTCTTCTTCTAAACCCCCCCCCACTGCCTCTCCCCCTTCAGCTTTCCCACTCAGTCCCCCAAACTCGACGCCAGATGAGGTTTTCAGTTCTGTATGTTGACTGAGCTCTGGGCAGGCTCTAGGACAGCGGTCTCAACCTGTGGGTCACGACCCCTTTGGGGGTCGAATGACCCTTTCACAGGGGTCGCCTAAGACATAACAGCAGCAAAATTACAGTTATGAAGTAGCAACGAAAATAATTCTATGGTTGCGAGGTCACCACAACATGAGGAACTGTATTAAAGGGTCGCAGCATTAGGAAGGTTGAGGACCACTGCCCTAGGCGAACAGAGGTGCCAGGCCCCGCCCTGCCTGCAATGAATAGAGAGGAACCCCAAATTAATCATGGTAATCATCCCCCGTCTGTTGTCAGTGATTGTAACAGTGGTTGTTACATCCTCAGCTTGATAAAATGTGTAGTCTTTCATTTCCCCATCTCCATAACAGTCAGGTACTCCCGTTTCGAGAGCACCTGCTATGCTCCAGGCTGTCCAGTGCTCGCCAAGCCCCGTAGTGTGCCCAGCCTGGGCTGGGTGTGGTGGGGGACAGTCCTTGAACTCCAGAAACCCACCATGTAGCTGAGGAAGCCAAAGCAATTCACCCAAAACAGCCCAGCCCTGGGCAGGCCCAAGTCAGAGGAAGGCTTTGGGACCGCTGAAGCTATTGGCAATGGAGCCCGGCCTGCCCTGGCACTGCCAATCAAATTCTGTCTATTGGAGGGACAGGCAGGAGGCTTAGTATGCCCCACGGCAAGCATCCAAGCTCCCACCTTGTCCCCTGCCTGGCCGGCTGGGGGTCCACAATGGGGGCAGGTGGGGGGAGGTCTCCTCACACTCAAGCCAGAGAAAACTGTGCAAGTGATGTTCCGCCCCTAGTCTTTCAAGAAAGCAGTCCCAGCTGGACTTGGCACCCCTGGGGCCAGAGGATCCACGCACATGCGTGTAGTGGGTGGCAGCTAGTCTCCCAGCTCCTTGGCAGGAGCCTGGGTGCACTGCAGCCGGAATCCAGCGGGAGGCTCGCCCTCCCCACCCCCACCCTCCTCCTTCCCCACCTGCAGGTCCTGAGAAGCTGCCGCAGGGATGTGAGCGCGGCAGCAGGGGGCATGGCCAAGAAGGGGACCCTCTAGCCTCCTGAATCCCCTACAGGGACAGTCTGGAATCAGGCAGGCCTGAGTTCTAGTCCCAGCCCTGCCACCATAGCCATGGGGACTGGGGCAAGAAGCAGGTTGAGTCATATGAAATTGCGTTTTTATAGATCAAAAATAGTCAAATACTGGCAATTCGACATAATTCAACCTAACATCTGCCTCTGTGCCCAGTTCCATTGCTGCTGAGGCGGGGACCACATCCTGTCCCTCGCGGGGCTGCGGGGAGGGTAAGCCGCAGGGCCCGGGGGGCCCCGCCAGCAGGCCCTAGGGGGTTCTGGTCATGGGGGAGGGGGGGCTGTGGCCCTGGACTTGCGACAACTTTAAAGGATGGGCCTGGAGGAGAGTTTTAGATTCCCGGGTCTGTCTGCCCCCGTGGCATCCGAAGATCACCTGTGTTGATCACCTGGGTTTCGGGGGACACACTGAAGCACGGGGAGTGGATGGCCTGCCCACCAGGATACGCACAGTGGGCAGAGTTCTGCGCAGGCGCCACCCCACCGCGCACCCCCCCCCCCCAAAGCTCCAGTAGCTTCACACAGGAAGGCGGCTTCAGGCCGGGCCGCTCCAGCAAGGAGCCCTCCTTCCCTGTTGTCACCACCGTTTCATCCCCAAAGGCCACACTGTCACCAGGGAAGTCCCCTGCTTCTGCTCACCTTACAGTGGACTTTTTTTCTCCCCCCAAAGGCAAAAGGCACACCCGGGCGAGTCCCCGCTGTTGAAGTGGCCTCCGCGACCCTCCGCCTACCTGGGCTGGGCCTGTGCGGGCTCGGAGCTGCAAGAGCTTGAGCGCCGGGGCCACTCCCTTCCTGGCTCCTTCCCGCCGGTCCTGGAGGCTCATCCCACCCTGCCGGTGACCTCTGACTCAACGAACCAGTGTTTGGGAGGCTAAGGCTGCTTCTCCCGCCCAGTGCCTTTCTGCACCCTGCTCTGCTGGGAGCCCTCCTCACCCCTCAGCGTTCCACTGTCTTCACCTTTATTTATTGTGCCCCCGGAGCCCCCTCCGTCTACCCGTGTTTATCTCAAGCTGGCTCTCCTCTTGGGTTGGGCTGGAAGGGCTTTCAGAACCCCTTGTGGGCCCGCGTGCACTGCAGCTTCAGCGGGCCTGGCTCTCTCCATGTGTGTTAAAGGAAGACGTCCAGCCCTGACCATTACCCTTCAGAGCTGAGCTTGGCCCCTAGAGAGGAGGGGTGGGGCCCAGAGCAGGTGGCATGAGGGACTCGGCCCCCCGTCCCTCTGCTGTGGCTCCGGGAGGTGGGAGCAGCACCCTCCCCTGGCCCCCAGGTTCTCTCCGCCTCTCCCCAGCTGTGCAGCGAGAGGGTTCTGGTGAAGACTATGAACTCACTCACTGAAGAGCTGCCTTCAGCCGAGTCCCCAGCTGGGGCCTAAGGCTCCCCTAAGCCATTAATTCACTTCTCCCCAGTAGGTTCAGTTTGGCATGAAAAATACTGAATTCAAAGCACGGGCAAATGCTCCTGGAAAACCGTGCCCGGGAGAGAGGGAGAGTGTGTGTGTGTGTGTGTGTGTGTGTGTGTGTGTGTGTGGACAGTACCCTCTCGTCCTTCCACCCCACCGCCCACTGCCCCTCCTCCAGCCCTTCCTCTCCAGGCCCCCAGGCCCCCACCATTAGCTTTTTTGCCATTTCTACCAGCAGATGGTAAAAAACTCACTGCTTCCCTGTGACAAGTGATGCTTCAGAATAAAAATAAAGATTAGGATTTGCATTGAGCCAGCGTGTTGATCAAAAGACCACAATCACTTGGGCTTCTGAGAGGCGTCCGCAGAGAAATGGATGGGGAAATGCGGTACATTGATTACCAGGACACCAAGTGGTTGTACAGACTTCCATGTACACTGTAAAAATGTTTTTTAAATGGATGAGGACTTCTGGTTAAACATGATAGACTGAACCGTATTTCCTCTGCCCCCCAACCCCATGAAGGAGTGAAAATGGCATCCACCTCAAAGTCCGAAAGAGGCAGGGGGACGGCAGCAAAGGAAAGGTCTGGAAACTTCGGGAGACAGAGCCTGGAGGTTAGCGCCAGCTTCCGCTACTCCCCAACACATCTGCAAGAGAGAGCCAGCCGTTTGCACCACAGAACCCCCCAGATGCTTAGAACTTGGAGGGACCAGGTGTCCCTCGGGTGGAAGTTCAGGATGAGTGTGAGATAGTATTACTTGGAAGAACTGGGCAGACGCCCCCCAGGTCCCTCCTCCCAGCCCAAGGGCCTGTGACTGCCCTGCCAGTCCCTGACCCTGGCAGAAGACAGATTTACTGCCGGCCAAGGTGGGACCCCAAGCCAGCCAACGGCTGAGGTAAGGCTGCGGTTAATGGGGAGACCCTCACACCCTTCCCCTGCTAACAGCTGGGCCTACTGCCCATCTGCCCTCCCCCAAGGCAGGACGTTATTGAATGTCTCTCTGGAAACTGGACGATGAGAAAAGATGGACAGGCCCGACGCTTGGTTTCCCGGGCTGCCCGGTCACACCGTGAGGCCCGGAGCACCAGCCCTGCCCACGCAGACAGCTTCCCATTAGCTCTGCTGTGTTGCGCTCACAGTGGGAACAGCCAAGGGCACCGACAGCGGACCAGAACCGACAACCAAAATACAGAGACTCCGAAACACAGAAGAAAGGGGTCAGAGCACAACCCTCTAAAAAAGTCACCCGTGAAACAGGAAAAAGAATGTTATTTTTTAAAAGGAAGTGTTAAAAGTCTTCAAAATTAAAATGTAATCGAAATTTTAAAATGTATGAGAAGGAATGGAAGGTGAGAGAAAACCTCCCAGAATGTAAAACACAAAAACACCTCTGAATATATTTGCCTCCACTTTTGCCCAAAATGCCTCTTTATTTCCCCCCCAATAAAAATTTAAAAGCAACTCTAGGGATTTGATCTTTAATGGAAACAAAGAAAAGAGTCGAATAAGCATTAAACACCTACTGTTGGCCAAACATCGTGGTTTGATAATTGGGGAAACAGTAGATACTGTCCCTGCTCTCACAGGGCTCCTTACAGGTGTTTGGAAAGACAGACTTCCTGCAGGTAATTGTAGAATTATATACTGTGGCACCATGAGAAAATATCTAGTGTAAGAATCTAATGTAGCCCTGGCCTGTTTGGCTCAGCAATTAGAGCATCAACCTGCAGATCAGAGAGGCCTGGGTTCAGTTCCTGCTAAGGGCACGTACCTCTGTTGTAGTTTGTCCCCAGCCCAGTTGGGGTTGTGTGGGTGGCAGCCAGTCAATGTGTCTCTCTTGCGTTGATGTTTTCTGTCTCTTTTCCTCCCTTCCTCCCTCCCGCTCTATCTAAAGATAAATGCAAAAAAAAAAAAAAAGAATCTAATGTAGCCCGACTGGTGTGGCTCAGTGGTTGATCACTGAGAGATCACTGGTTCAATTCCTGGTCAGAGCACATGCCCAGGTTGTGGGCCCCGATCTCCAGTCGGGGGCATACAGGAGGCAGACAATCAATGTTCTCTCTCATCGATGTTTCCATCTCTCTCTTCCTCTCCCTTCCGCTCTCTAAAAATTAATAAAGAGCCCTGGCCGGTTTGGCTCAGCGGTTAAAGCGTCTGCCTGCGGTCCAGAGACACCCGGGTTCGGTTCCCGCTAAGGGCATGTGCCTCGGTTGCAGTTTGTCCCCAACCCTGGTTGGTCGTGCAGGTGGCAACCACTTGATGTGTCCCTTTCATGTCCATGTTTCTCTCTCTCTCCCTCTCTCTCCCTCTCTCTCTCTCTCTTCCTCTCTCTCCCTCCCACTCTATCTGAACAAAAAACGAAAAAATGTCCTCGGGTAAGGATAAAAAAATAAAATAAAAACTAATAAAAAAAAGAATCTGCCCTGGCCAGTTTGGCTCAGCGGTTAGAGCGTCCACCTGCGGTCCGGAGAGACCCGGGTTCGGTTCCCGCTAAGGGCACGTACATCGGTTGCAGTTTGTCCCCGGCCCTGGTTGGTCGTGCGGGTGGCAGCCACTCAATGTGTCCCTTTCACATCGATGTTTCTCTCTCTCTCTCTTCCTCTCTCTCCCTCCCACTCTGTCTGTACAAAAAATGGAAAAATGTCCTCGGATGAGGATTAAAAAAAAAAAAAAGAATCTAATGTACATTGGCACACCCTGGAAGACCTCACAGAGGAAGTGACCTTTAAGCTGGGGCCTAACTGATGACTAGGAGTGAACCTGGCCGTGATGGGAGCCACGCAGACGGCCTGGCAGAGGGAAGAGTGTCTGAGGTCCCTGAGTGATGTGAGAACAAAGTGCATCACGTTCAAGGAACTGAGAGATGGTGACAGAGGAATGCATAACTAGCTGTGCTGTATGCTTTCAATGCAGTGTTACCCAACAAAACACACCACACACACAGATGTAAAAGTAGGAGGAAAAGCCACGCGATCGGACAACCAAAAGATAAGAGCTGTGCGGAAAGTCCGACGTCCAACTAATAGACATTTCAAACCAAAAACACAAAATACAGGAGAGAAAATCATTGAAGAAATGATAGAAGGACATTTCCTAGGGCAAAAGGAAACTAGCTCCCTAGGGAAAGAAGCCACCAAGTGCCCGGCGCAGTGACATAAAACCGCAGCCATGTGGACGGCCGCCGCCATCGTGAGCAGCCGGGGGCAGTGCCCGCCGGAGGTGCACACGGCCCGCGGCGGCTGCGTGATGCCCGTCGCCGCAGGCCTTGCAGAAGCACATGCTACTCTCCGGGGCTGGGCCAGGGGCTGAGCGCACGCCTGACGACCTCCGGCCGATGCCCGCGCGGCCGCTGGAGGTCCACACTGTGAGAGGCACAGGTCTAGCGCAGTGGTTGTCACCACTGGCTGCTCCTGGGGAGCTGCACAAGCAGTCCTGCCGGACTCACCCCCAGAGATTCTGGTTTAATCATGTTGGGGCACAGCCTTGACATCAGGATTTTTGAGGGTCCCCAGATGACTCCAGCGTGCTGGCAGAAACAAGAACCACCTCCCTATAGAAGCTCTTCTTTGTGGGCCCCAGACGGGCACGGAATGTTTGGAGCAGTACCTTTCCATCAGCTAAAAATTGGAAACAGCCTACATCCTAGGGACAGAAGAATAGATACATAATTGTGGTCCAGTCGAACAGTGGACTGTCACGCAGCCATGTAAATGAGGGGCCACACTCAGCGTGGATGACGCACAACGCTGAGCAAAGAAACAGAGGGAGAAATGTAAATCATCGTGACGCCGTCTATGTAGAGATTTTAAACACGCAGTGTTATCTATTAACATATATTTGATGCAGTGAAAGAATAAAGAAATGCAGAGGGAGGATAAACAACAGATTTCAAGATACAGCTGGAGAAGACATGCAATGAAGGAGGGGTTTCAACTTTATCAGTAATGTTTTAGTAATCTCGACGACGGATAGGTGGGTTTGTAATATATATGTTATATTTTATATATTATACAGAGGTGGGCAAAAGTAGATTTACAGTCATTTGAATGGAAAATAATACAATAATTAATAAATAATACACAGATAACCTCTATTTGGTCCCAGGGGGTAGCTCAGTTCGTGAGTGTCATTATGCCAAGGTTGCAGGTTCGATCCCAGGTCAGGGTACATACAAGAATCAACCAATGAATACACAAGTAAGTGAAACAACAAATTGATGTCTCTCCCTCTCTCTCTAAAATCAATTTTTTTCCATTTTTTTATCTTAGATAGAGTGGGAGGCAGGGGGGGGAGAGAGAGAGAAACATCAACTGGTTGCCTCCCGCACAACCCCCACCAGGGCCGAGGACCGAACCACAACCAAGGTACATGCCCTTGACCAGAATCAAACCCGAGACTCTTTGGTCCTTGGGCCGACACTCTAACCACTGAGCCAAACCAGCCAGGGCTAAAATCAAGTTTTTAAAAAGAAAGAATAAATTGTTTTGCACACTCACAACTATAAACGTACTTTTGCCACTCCTGTATTTATTATATTTGTATTCTTTTTATATGTCTGAAGTCTTTCAAAATAAAAAATTTAAGGAATTACAGCTAGCCTTCTTATCATACAATTTTAGGACACCGGGATAAAAATCCTAAAGAGGAAAAAAAAGTCCAAAAACCTTCCAAAGAAAAAGCAAACGGTCACATAACAAGGACCAGAGATTAAAATGGCATTGAAATTCTCAAAGCAGCCCTGGCCGGTTTGGCTCAGCGATTGGAACGTTGGCCTGTGGTCCAGAGAGACCCGGGTTCGGTTCCCGCTGGGGGCATGTACCTTGGTTGCAGTTTGTCCCTGGCCCCGGTTGGGTCGTGCGGGTGGCAGCCTCTCAATGTGTCCCTTTCGCGTCAATGTTTCTCTCTCTCTTCCTCCCACTCTGTCTGAACAAAAAAATGAAAAAATGTCCTCAGGTGAAGATTTAAAAAAAAAAATTCTCAAAGCAGATTTTGAAGCCAGTACAGTGCAGCAGCATCTTCTGAATTCTGACAGGGAATGATTTCTACTCCAGTTTTATGTCTAG